CGGTACGAGACTCGAACCCGCAACCTTTGGGTTACGAGTCCGACTCTTTAACCATTAGGCCACGACTTCCCCTTATTGTGTTTCACTGTAGCATTTTTACCTGTGGTGAATCTCCAGCCCCTCTGTGATCTCGTCTGCTCAGAAGCCTCCACCCGAACGCAGACACATCTATCAGGAAACTCTTCTTGGAGCCACTGCACGTCTGACATCCTTCTGCAATCGCTGATTATCTGAGTAATGGATAGTATGTGATATATGTCAGCCATAATTTCTTCAAGTTAAACCACTCTTTTATTTTTATGGGTGGTAGCGAAGACATCTGAGTTTCTCTGCGTATCTTATCTTATGATAGTTATTCTCAAACGACTCTCAGAGCAGCTCTGGAGATGAAGTTCATGTGTTCATATCCTCATATAGTGAGACGGCAGATGCTGGAAAAATCACAAGCGTCAAGCTTGCTTAAGTATGTGTAGTAGACTAAAGCTTGCAGGTTGTTTGGGTGTGGGGGAGCTCATACCCAGATGGGCTGTGTGGCATGTTTGATGGCCAGTCTACAGAAGAAGCCAGAGTCCTGCTGTCTCTTCATCTCACCCCAGCGGATCATGTCAGCACGATAGCTCTCCTTATACTGACCACAACCCAACAGCTCCTCGTAGTCGAGATTATGATCCTGATATTCCGAAATACATCAGTTTCTGTTCAAGTTTACATGCACTTTAGAACAAAAACCATTTCCATTTCAGAGCACAGACAGAACGGTATTTTAGGGGATTCACCTCAACATTTAAATGCATTTAAAGTATGTGAACCCATTGGAATTGGTGGTATTTTCAGCATTAATTGGTCAAAAGAAGAAAAACAATCATGTTTTTCTATACTTTGATGAAGATCAGATGACATATTAAGACCATTTAATTCAGAAAACTAACTAATTCCAATGTGTTTTATACCTTTCCTTGCCACTGTATACTATATATATTATAAGAGTAACTTCTGTCAAACTGTACTAATCAGTAATTGTGAATGAGCTTGCTGAATGGTATGCTAAACATTTGTGAAAATTGTGTTAAAACAAAATCTAGTGTTAAATAAGGTCACATTATTCTCATCACCCCTCAACTATAGGGAAACATGAAGAAGGGGTCACAGGTTATTTACAGCAGTTTAGATGAGAAGAAGATTCAGTTTTTAAAGCAAACATAGCCTAGCTGGTGTCTATGAATGAATTTCAAGTCTGTGGCTGATTGAGATGCACCAACCTACTAAAATAAATAGCTTACGGATATTACATACAGTGACCCCAGCAATTATTTAGAGACTTAAGCCACAATTAAAAAAAAAAAAATGTATTGGCATTATATAACAAAATATTAAAATGTGGTGTTTATCAATATATATATTGTTCAAAACGGAGACAAAATCTTGGACACTTTCTTTGTGTCAGACTTTTGAACTGAACAACACCAGTGGTTACTCTACTACAGTGTTTCTCAACAAGGGGTCCGTGGACCCCTAGTGGTCCTTGATGTAAGGCCAGGGGGTCCGTATAAAGTATGACTTTTTTGTATACATTTTGCATATTTTGACATGACATGTTCCCATGAAAGAAAAATCCAATATAGCTGATGATATGGCCAAATACTGGACAAGTCAGCTAACTTGAATTATACTTGACTGTATTTCCTCACAAATGATACATAGATGAGTCAATTTTGTTCTGGGGGTCCTTGAGGATGGTTCTGAATTGGACTGGGGTCCGGTACGCCAAAAGGTTGAGATTCACTGCTCTACTACACATGTGTAAACTTGACAAGAACTTACTTCAAACATTAAACATTCACAAAAAATGACAAGATAAATTGGTTAAAAAAAATAAAAAGTGGCTCAGAAAAGTCAGATCTCAGCAAAGTATATATATATATATATTTACAATACAATAAACATTCTGATATATTTGTGACCTAAATGTCCAAACTATATGCAAATATTTTTTGAGGCCACAGTATCTTTTGCAAATTAGATGTGCTGATTTGAGATTACAAGGGCAAAAAGAAGACACAAGTCAATAATCTACAGTCTGTAGTGAGGAGTCTCTTTAGGAAACTTGTAACTCAATTGTCTGCTTACATTTCTTTCTGCCAGCACAATTTGAACATCTTCAGTTAGTATATAAAGCATTTAAAAAACATCTTACTAAGACATTATTGAGATATATAGAGTGACAACTGAAGTTTATCATACTATATGGGCTATTAAAGCCTGATGTATCATAAATGATACAAAATATAAAACCCATATGCAAACGTTTTTCTTTAGAAGTTTTAATATTTTGTCTAAAGGTTCAGTAAGTGTTTCTTTAAAGGGGTCATAGGATCATAGGATGCCCATTTTCCACAAGTTGATATGATTCTTTAGGGACTTAATGAAAAGTCTGTAACATAGTTTGGTTAAAATTTCTCAATGGTAGTGTAAAAAAAACACCTTTTTTACCTTGTCAAAAAAAGCCGTTTTTGTAGCATTTCCCTTTAAATGTTAATGAGCTCTGCTGACCCCACCCCTCTCTTCCGAGCTGCTCTGTTTACTTTAGCCGCATTCATCGTGAAACTTGCTAATTAGCACATTATTAGGAAAGGCGATTTGCAAAGATTCATTACAAAACATTATACTCACTTCTTCTGTAGATGAGGCTGGATCATGAATGATTCGCGCGAACATAGACGCATTT